ACAGCCCGAGGGGGTCTTGGCCACAGCCTTTATCTCTGGGGTCCGTGGTTCTTCATTACTGTTTACTGGCCTCTGCTGCTGCTGTTGCTATCTATTTATAGGGAACCAATAACTCTGTAAACACCTGTTTTCCTTTGGTCACAGAGCACAGCATAGTTTTATTAACAGGAGCCAGCCTGCCAGGAAAAAACAACCTGCTTCCCCGAACGCAGCCTTGTTTCCGGTTTTCCACAGCTACTACGAGGCATCCCTGTGGGGACTCTCCAGTTCCTCCCTCTCTGCTGTGCGCCCAATAAATGAAGAGTCTCGTGCTTGACCATGTGCGATTTCATTCAGGTTTAAGTCCTTGATGTCCAGTGGGCTTTATTCTCTTCAGTTCTACAACCGGCTTTCACATTAGGATCCTGACCTGCAGGTGCTTGGTTCAGAAAGCTGGCGGGGTGAGGTGGGGGCTCCGTTCGCTTTCTTGGATAAGGTGGGTGGCCCTAGCAGTTTCGCCCTAATGAGGGCTCTAGGGACTGTTCTTTCTGCCCCACAGGTTGCCACAATCCTATCCAACTGTCCTCTTCTCTGTGCCGTCTCCCCACCCTCCTGTGCCTTTGAATTTCCTGATTTTGTGCCTGTCCGTTGCCCTGTGCTTTCCTGACTCCCACCTGCACCCTCCTCACTTTCCGCATATCCTGACCCTTGCTTGTCCAGTGGTCCAGATACGAGCCCTTGTTTTAGCATATCCTCTTCCTCTTCCAAAGTCATGGGTGTTTAATACTGATGCTGCCATTGCCCAAAGGCCCCTGCAGGTGTCAGGCACTGTGTTGTGCCCTGCAGTTTTGCAGCTGTCATCTCTTAGTCATTACCACAGCCCCTTCAACCTTTGTGTTGTATTATTATTTCTACATTTTGGATCAACAAACAGACATGTGACAGGCCGCAGGTGGTTAGGCCAGTAGGAAGGCCACTGTTAGCGAGGCCAGTGAGCCGGGGCTTCATGACTCAGGTTCATTTAAACCAAAGCCTGGGCTCTCAACTTGGCTGTGGGCCTAGTCTAACATGTTCATTGGTCAGGAGCCGCCCTCCCCCACCCCCCAACTTTTTGAATAAACAAATGAATCTAAGATTGTAATTATTGAAATAGGAAAGTGTGTGAATTGCCTTGTATGTAGCTCAGTGACTTCACCAAAAGCTCTCTAGAACCCTCCTGTGTCCCTTTGGGTCAACCAGGGTGACCACCACTCAGATTTTGAATTTTGTCTATGATTGAATGTAAAGGCAGTCACACCATACTCTTCCTGAATTCAGTCTTGAGATATATTCATAAGTATTCTCTGTTTATTCCCCTTCCTGGTTGGTCTGACCTTTCCCAGCTCCTCAGTCAGAAACTTAAGTTTCCTCCTGTATCTCTTGAACATCCTCATGGTGCACCGTCAGCGCGGCCTTTTCTCGGAGACGGTCCTGTTCTTCCTGTGGATGAAAAGCGAATTCCAAACCATCTCGCTTGCTTCCCTAGTCACTGCTTCCAGTCCACCCCTCTCTGGGACCCTCCACACTCTGCATCGTTGTTCTGGTTTGTTCATTTGATTAGGCTCCCAGCACAGCGACCAAGTGCCTGCTTCCTCCGAGGCCCCCTGGGATTGAGGTATTAACATCTATATGGGCTTCCCCTGGGACGGACAAGTGTCCGCAGCTTCTGGCAGCAGTTCACTGCCATGTGAGTCAGTTTTAAATTGCTCAGCATGATCACAGACCTCCTGCACAGCATAAAGCAGAGGATGCCTGGGGCAGAGGTGGCCTCTTCCAGAGACAACAGGACAGCTCTTTGCCTGGACATGGTGCATCTGTTTTGATCTGGAACATTTAACTCTGTAATAAGCAGGGTTCCAGTGGACGCAAGAAAAAATTTTCTTCCCCTAAAAACCCAGAATTGCTGAGAGGCTCCTGATGGAAACTTGGCCTATGTGGAAGTGATTTATGGCAGAGAAACTGACCTCCACACCTGCCGTTGTCATCACAGCACAGAAAGCTTTGAGAGGCAAGTTCTCTCCCTGTGCCAACCACTGTTCTCCCTAAATACATTCAATTCGATTGTATTTTTTCAACTCAGTTTACATTCAGTATTATTTTGTATTAGTTTTCTTCCCAGGGCAATAAAATGCTATTTGATTTCAAATATAATAAATGGCATAGGTTTGATTAACTATAATGTGCATGTATTGAACTATCATGTGGACTTGTTACATTACTAAGGGCAGCAAAGAATACTGTTGGATTAAAAAATATGAGGCTTAGTCGTTTGGTGACATAAGGGCTTTGAGCTGTAGTTGTTTTATGTGTGTATTTGTTGCCCAGGGCAGTCTGTGTGCTTCCCATTTTGTGTGCTCGGTTATTTAGATGAAGAGTAACGTTAAGGATTTGGGCCACATAGCCATTTAATATTAGTTATGGTAACCAGTTTGTCAGGAGAGAACAGATATGTAAGATTGTATCCTTTGATTGGGGGCAGGGGTGAATTCTTCTGAAAGTCATGTGTTTGATATTTTGCTTTTATAGAGGGAAAATAATAGCATGTATTTTATTTTCAAGCTAAGCATGTATGTGGGTTTTACTTTACGTGCAGGCCAGTAGAGACCTGATACCTTGTATCAGTTTTCAATTTTGTGCTTGTTAAGTTATTTTACAAATTTTGAGTTGGGATCAAAATGAAAACTTAAATTCTGTATTAATACTCATAGTCTTTAGATCTGTAAAGGGACTGCAAGGAGACAATGACAAGTTCCAGAGAGTGTCCAGATTTACCCCAGAGGGTTATGGGAAGGAGGAAACTTTATATACTTCATTTATTGTTTACTAGTGGCCCTGCGCACGAATCCGTGCGTAAGTAGCTCGCTGCCGCTTGCCTCAGCTGGCCGCCCCGCCCACTGCCGCTCATAGCTCTCCGCTGCACGTAGCTCGCCGCCCTGCCCTCCTGTAGCTCTCCGCTGCACGTAGCTCGCTGCCCTGCCCTCCCGTTGATCGGTCGTTACGTGACAGCATCCCAACCAATTTGCATATTACCCTATTATAAGTATAGATGTATAGGGACATATAGAAAAGGTTTAATGTGGACCTTCTAGATCACCTAGGGATGCTTCTGGTGAAAGAAAGAAAGCATAGTTTTTGGTGCCATGTGCCTAATTCCATCAGTTTGGATGTGGGGTGAACATATAAGTAGTTTCATTCTCTAAAGTATCTTATTATCTTTGTGTATCTTTTATAACATTTGTTATATATTAGTGCTGGGAGTTTTTACATGAGGGAGAAAATACGCATTGAGATTTTGGTGTGGAAACAGAAGTGTGCACTAAGATTAGTTTGTTTGTGTTTAATAGGAGAAGAAAACAAAAGCTTAAATAGCAGAGAAGTTTATTTCTCTCTCCCAGAGTGTCACCAAGGCCTCTGCTCTTTCTGTTCTGCTTCCCTCAGCAATTGATTTCCATCTTCAGAGTCACCTTTTGGCCCAAAAGGCTGCTGAAGTCATTTTGCTTATCTTGCTGGCAGCAGGAAGGAGGAAGAGAAGAGGGCAGGCACACCTCCCCTTTTATAATTCTTTGTCTTTCTTTTGTTTCTTTAATTAATAAATTTATTTCTTAGGTCAGTTTTAGGTTCACAGCAAAATTGAGAGGAAAGTACAAATAGCGCTCCTGCCCCTACCGGGTCCCCTTTGTTTTAGATTAAGAACTTCCTCTAAGTACCAGCCAGTAGCTTCTGCCTACATCTCTGTGGTCAGAACAGGGACTCAGCTGGCAATAAGAAAGCTGGGAAGAGTAGTCTTTTAGCTGGGAGCTTTGCTGGAGTTCATGGCCAAGGTGTACAGGGAGATAGTTGCAGGAGAAACGTGAAATTTCTGTCACAAAGCCATTGACCCAAGAGAATTTCTTTTCTTTTCTCTTGGTTATGCAAAACAGAGTTTAAATTAAAGCCTTAAATTGGTACCTTTAGAAAGCTGTATTTGTTTGTGTTGAGAGGCACTGTTTACTGTTTATAATTATTATGAGTTCATAAGCGCTTGAGATATCATCAAAAATAATCATTTAAAATTATATAAAGAAACTAGAGGCCCTGTGCATGAAAATTCATGCACTGGAGGGGTGGTCCCTCAGCCCGGCCTGCCCCCTCTCACAGTCCGGGAGCCCTCAGGGGCGGGAGGCGACCCAGAAATCAGGGGAAGGTGACGCCCCCATCACACCTCTGCTGGTGCCACTGCTGACAGCGCAATCCTCAGCCAGCCCTGGTTACCTGAGCCTCGGGGGGGGGGGGGGAGCCTGGGGGGGGGGAGGCCTGGGCAGCTGCCATCCGAGGCTTGCCTGCGTCTGGGGGTCTAGGGGTCTCCAGAGGCAGGCACGCGGAGCGGCCTTGCCACGTGCCCGCCACCCCGGTGAGGCTGAGGGGACTGGGCACTGCCATCTTGTGGCTGTGGGCACCGCCATCTTTGAGGGTGTGGCAGTCAATTAGCATATCCCCTCCTTATTGGCTGTGGGTGCCGCCATCTTTGAGGGTGGGGCAGTAAATTAGCATATTCCATCCTTATTGGCTGTGGGCGCTACCATCTTTGCAATGGCGTGAGGGTCAATTAGCATATTCCCTCTTTATTAGCTAGGATAATACAGTTATAAAGTATATGGAAGGAGGCATGTTATGTTCATTTCGAGGCACATTTAGTGTTTTATAATTGGATTTGAAGAAATGCTTTATGGAATGGATACACACAATTTAAAAATTTAAATACAGTTCAATGTATGTGTCTTTTGGTACACCTTAGAGTTCTGTTACTCTCTTAAATTTGTTTCATCAATAAATGCTTCAACTTACATTGATTATAAAAGGAAATCGTAATAAGCGAATCTTTCCTTTTCTTTGTCTTTCTCACAGAAGTGTGTGGAGGTTGTGACTAACTGCTTTATGATAGATGTTTTTTTCTGTTTTCCTCTTCTGCCCTTCTCTCTTCTCCAATCATCCCCGTCCCAAAGTGCCTACTCTTTCCATGTGACGGCAGACGGGCAGATGCAGCCTGTCCCTTTCCCCCCCGACGCCCTCATCGGACCCGGCATCCCCCGACACGCTCGCCAGATCAACACCCTGAACCACGGGGAGGTGGTGTGCGCAGTGACCATCAGCAACCCGACGAGACACGTGTACACGGGTGGGAAGGGCTGCGTCAAGGTCTGGGACATCAGCCACCCCGGCAATAAGAGCCCTGTCTCTCAGCTTGACTGTCTGGTGAGTGAGCAGAACCCGGTGCACAAGGGTAATTTCTCCCCGGAGACTCAGTAAGGAAATAGCTGCCCAGGCCTGGGTTTTAATTCCCATTAGGAGGAAATGGAAGCCCATTTTGTTTCCTGTGTTAGCGATTTAGCTCCTTGCCACCCCTCTCCTGTAGATGTGAAGTTTTCATTTGCTGCTCTTTCGGTGGTTAAATCCCATGATGGATTTCTTTTAGAAAAATATTTTAGAGTCATTTACAGAAGCTGTCCTTGTTCGAATGTGTATTCAAAAGGGGGTTTCCCATTTAATGGATGAAAGCTCAGCTAGCCCAGGACTCCTAGCCCTGCAACCCACTCAACTTTTAATTTCCCTGCAGCCTTTGGATAAATATTGAATAGTAAACATTTGATAACGTAGCATTACAACCAGTCTGAACAGAGTCTGTGTTTTCAGGGAGGCCTGGGGAGCTGGCTGGGTTTTATTACCTTAACTTCAGGAAAGGGTTAATGGATCACACTGTGAGAAATCAGGGCAGCTGTCAGCAAAGCAGGAGTGGTGAGAAGGCTTTCCCAGGTGCCTCGTCCACCTCTCAGCATCCGAGAATACCACTGTGCATTTTCCAGGATCTTAGGACGCGCTGGGCATGCTCCGGTCGCTCAGCTGTAACCCCGGGGTCTACAAACCACGTACGGTTGGCCTGAGGCAGGCAAAAGGCCACCCTGCCCCTGGCTGGAGCCTGCCTGCACGCGGCTGTACAGGTGGTGCTCTTCACTCACTGCCTGCCTGGACTCCGGAGCGTGCTTCCAAAAAGAAGGGTGGCAGGATTTCCAACCTTCGAGTGAGAGACCATGGTGAAAACATAGCAAAAATAACTCAGCTATGTCTATTTGGGTTGAAGGATAGCAGTTATTTCTTTTGGGGGTAGGGCTGTCATTTTAAGTCCCACTTCCCTTTTTAAGATGTGTTGATTTTGATGGAGAGATGCCCTCTTTTATTAATTTCTTTTGTCTTTGGATTGAGAGGCATAAATAATGACAGCAGCCAGGTTACAGGAAAGCAGCTCTGTTAAATTCCTAGACAAGGAGGCACCTGGCTAATGAGGACATGGTGCAGGCCTAGGTACAGGTAAGAGTAATGGACACCAAAGCATAGGCAGGGGGTCTACAGTCCCCAAATACTAGTAAATAACAGAGAATGATGAGATCAAATATTTATAAACCAGCTTTGAGAAGAGCTTTCTTCCTAGAGAAGTCTGTGTGTATCTACCTCACATCTACTGATAACTTCAGTTCTGTCTGCTCAGTGAGAACTGGACGTGAGGGACAGTCCTGTCTGAGCTTGCAATCCTTTGAGTTCATTTTGTTTACTCTTTCCAGGAAGGCAGCTGCAATCGGATCCCGATATTTACGACAGAATTCTTGCTTGTTAGTGTCCGTGAAATACCACTTTTCAGGTCAAAAACCAAGATAGCAGTTAGAGAACATGGCATTGTTATGGCTTAGTGTGTAGTACATGCAGCGATTGAATTGTATTTATTTCACAGAACAGAGATAACTACATCCGTTCCTGCAAATTGCTCCCCGATGGCTGCACTCTGATAGTGGGAGGGGAGGCCAGCACTCTGTCCATCTGGGACCTGGCCGCCCCGACCCCTCGCATCAAGGCGGAGCTGACGTCCTCGGCCCCTGCCTGCTACGCCCTGGCCATCAGCCCCGACTCCAAGGTCTGCTTCTCCTGCTGCAGCGACGGCAACATCGCCGTGTGGGACCTGCACAACCAAACGCTGGTGAGGTGAGCACAGGTGGTTTTCTATTAGCGGGGCGGTCAGAAGGCCTCCTGTCTCTCCTGCTTCTCCAGCTGCCCCAGGCACTCAGCCCACACATTCAGATCTTACTGTGTGCCAGGCTGGGAGCCTGGTATTAGGAGTGCAAAGACGGAGTTGTGTGGCTTCCCTTGGGGGACTCACCATCTTGATGCTGTGCTCAAGTGTCCCCTAGACTTTATATTTAACTTCCTAATGTTCCCATTTTCATTCTTCAGACACTTATAGGTGCCAGGCTTGTTTAAGAAGTATTCCTGGCTTTCGCCACATGGCAGCACATTATAGATTCCATGGCGGTAGGAAGGGTCCTCAGTGGTAGATGGTTTTGGCTTTTTTTGTTGTTATTGTTAATCCTCACCCGAGGATATTTTCCCATGGATTTTTAGAGAGAGTGGAAGGGAGGGGGAGAGATGGAGAGAGAGAAGCATCGACATGAGAGAGACCCATTGATTGGTTGCCTCCTGCACACCTGCAACCGAGGTACATGCCTTTGACTAGACTCAAGCCCGGGACCCTTCAGTCTTCAGGCTGATGCTCTATCCACTGAGCCAAACCAGCTAGGGCAGATAGTTTTGACTTTGGCTAGAACCTTGTTTGTGCAAACAGGAGCCAACTAATAAAGGATAACAAAACAAACAAAAAGAACATTTGAAGAGGAGATTGCACGAATTTCACACACATTGTTTTTCAAATATCTGTGTTTGTTTCTATTTATTTATTTATTTTGATTTCAGAGAGAGAGGGAGAGGGAGAAAGAGAAAGAAACATCAGTGATAAGAGAGAATCATTGATTGGCTGCCTCCTGCACACCCCACACTGAGGATTGAGCCCACAACCTGGGCATGTGCCCTTGATCAGAATCAAACCTGGGACCCTTCAGTCCGCAAGCCGACACTCTGTCCATTGAGCCAAACCAGCTAGGGCATATCCGTGTTTCTTGATAACTAGCTAACTAAGCCCTGTCCAGAGTCGCTCACCAGGAATGAGCCTGACTTCCTGGGACCTGTGCTTCTAACCGTAGCAAGAGCTGCACTCACCACCTTTGTGTCTTGGCTCCGGCAGCTCCCTCCCTCCACCTAAGTCAGTGCTCACACTAGAGATCTTACGGAAAAATCTTTGAAAATGTAAGCGCTAAAACATCCAGGCCTAACTAGCATCTTTCGCCCTTTCATTTCACAGTTCATCTTCACTCTGAAACACTTGTTTATGGTGTGATTTTAGGCTCATGAATTGCTTAGCAGGCCTCCTCCCAATGCTTTGGGCCCGTGTGCTGGAGGAAGGGTTGGACAGACCGTGGAGGTCATCAGAGCAGCTCCCTCTTGTTCCAGTGAGGGTCTCCGAGCCAGGCTCTGTCCCTCTGTGCACGTGACAGTGTGGTGGGTATTTCTCTCTTACCACTCACTGGGCAGAATGAGCAAATTAATGGAGCTAGAGCTGACAACTGCTTCAAACTTTTAACCTAGCAAGTGTTCATTGTTTTTTTTCTGTGTGTGTGTTTGTGTGTGTGTTTGTTTTTTAACTTAGGAAATAGTACTTTCAAAATACCATTTCTCAGTGCTTTCAACTATTAACCCATTTAATCCTCATAATGTCAACACTCCTGTTACTCTGATTTTATAGAAGAGGAGCTCGAGGCACAGAGAGGTTAAGTTTACCTGCCCGGGGTCACACAGTCCGGCATGATGGAGCTGTGGTTGGGTCCGGGCATTCTGTTCTCATGTCTGTGTTCTGAACCCCTGCTCTGTGCCAGCCCCCTGGAGATCAGTACCTATTGGATATAATGGGGTGATGCTTCATAAACCTCTTTCTCAGTTTGGACCAGCCACCTATGGATACCAGCTACTCTGAGCGACAGGGCAGTGTAGAGTCTATGAATATCTTTGTATCTACTGTGACCCGTACATTCTGAACAGTCCTGGGGTCTGCCTTATCGGAGCCCTAGAGTAGTGCAGAGATGTGTGGACAGAGGGATGGAGGGACACCTACCAACCGCTGTACATCAGCAAAGACATTTGTAGTCAAGGAGTGAGAGTATTTCATGAGTTCTAAGTAAGACGAAGTGAGGATGAAATGGAGGGAGTCACTGGTGCTTGGAGGAAAGAGAAGCTGCACTTGCAGCACTTGGAGCAGGGTCTGCCCTAGGCCTGTGTGACTGGTGAGGAGTCTGGAGTTCACTGGGGTGCACATGCATGGTAAGTTTGGGAGAACTGGGGTGTCGGTGAAGGTGGGGACAGAGACAGAAGTTGAGGATGGCTTGCAGAGGAAAGATTTTTGAAGGGATGGCTCTCATGTTGTCTCAGAATTCAGGCCAACAGTGGTGCTGTTTTATTCCCTTACACGCTTACTAAATTCCAAGTGCAGTTTAAAAGTATGGAGACCTGTGGAAATAATAAGTGAGTGGAAAGACAGGTATGGAAAATCCCCTCTTGGCATTGAAATTCCCAGCAGCTCTATACTGGGTCCTGTTACCATTGCGATTGGGCCCCTGAGCTCACCTGTTTTGGTTGTTCTCCCGCCAGCTCCCTCTGGGCATGCAGAACCAGGTCGCGGACCCCCAGACTGCCAGCAACTTACATTGATCCCCTCCCCAAGCCGGCCCCACCTGTTGCCTAGCGAAGCATCTGTGCTCAGCAGATCCTGTTGGCCGATTGTTCTTGGTGTCGTTTTGTGATTAAAGCTCAAGGTTTCCCTTTAAGAAAACAACCTTGTGCTCAGTCTTGCTGAGGTGCCAGGGGTCAGCTTCAGCAGTTAGCTTTATCTCAGCTCAGCACCTTCAGGTCCGGAGGTGGGCACAACCCTTTGTCTCTGGGAGTCCAGATTTCAAATGCAGGGCTCCTTCTAACAGAGAGCAAGGATGAGTCGCTGTGAGCTCAAGGCTCTGTTGGCTAGAAGGGCACTGCTGTGTTGACTCATCGTTGTGTTGTGAGCGCTGCTAGACCCTGAGCCTGTAATGTGGCCATGCAGGCCTGCAGGATTAAAGCCAGGCCTTCATCTTTCTTTGAGGAATACTGCTGGGATTCTGTGTGGTTGTCTCTCTCTTTTTTTCTTCTTCTAACACAAAAAACACTTTTCCAGACCTGGGAGAGATTTTACCTTCCAGGCGGGTCTTAAGAACAGCTATAGTAGCGTGTTTGACTTCTGTGCAGTGACCTAAGATGGCATTCCATTTCTTTAGCACTTGGATCATGAAGAAAGAAAAAGAAAATCTGCAGGTGTACCGTCTTCCTCCTCGGGGAAGGTTGGTTTGATCTTGTACATCAGCAGACACTGAAGAGATGACACACACACCCCGAGTCCAAAACCAACAACACAACAGTGTTTACCTTGAGCTCTGGCAGGAAATCATTATTCAATCTGGTTTGTTTTATCAGGCAATTCCAGGGCCACACAGACGGGGCCAGCTGTATTGACATTTCTAATGATGGCACCAAGCTCTGGACGGGCGGCCTGGACAACACGGTCAGATCCTGGGACCTGCGTGAAGGGCGGCAGCTGCAGCAGCACGACTTCACCTCACAGGTGCCCGGCTCCTTCTACCTGGAATCTGGGAGGTGGTGGAGTGTGTGTGCATGTGTGTGTGTGTGTGTGTGTGTGTGTGTGTGTGTGTGTCCTCTCCCTCCGTTCGTACCCCATGACAGTAGTAGCTATACAAACAGACCAGGCTTAAATTTGAGATACTGATTTTTTTTTTAACCACTAACAAACAAAAAGCCCTTGAAACACTTAGAGTGGTGTCTAAACTCCTGCAGGTTAAGCCCTGATAGCTGTTACAGTCATATATGAGTTCATTTAAGGAATCGGTGCAATCAGGAATATCCAGTTTTTCCCCGGCAGGTTGGGTCTGCTTCTCCCCATCTCATGTGAGGGTGAGAGCTGATAATTTGGTTCACATATAAACAGAGCTTGAAAAGCATGCAGGCACATCACAAGTAGAGGAAAGTCACAACAGCTCTGAAAGTTAATTCATTTTTCTTGCATCAGGGAACATAAAAACATGCTGCAGCCTCTCCCTGGGTGCCTGTTTTATTACTCACCCTTCAGAAAATGGACTCATGGCTGACTAAATTTATGGAGTTTTGAAATGATATAAAACTCTCAACTTTGTGGATTGTGAAGATTATTTAGATGACAACATCTGAATGAATCTAGGTGTGTTTGGGGAAAGAGTGCCATTTTAAGGGCTTTCTGGTGGTAGAAGTTTTCTTTTCAATATTAGACTTATTTTTTTGTAATGAAATAATTTCACTCAGAATATAAATAGGATAAAAATGGAAAATAATGATATATACTACTAAATTTTGTGTCCCTATTAAAATTTTGTGGAGTTTCTTCCCTGTGTTAGCCCCTTTTCCCCAGTATGAGTAGGATTTTGTTTGGTCTGCCCTTTTATTTTTTAAACTTCTTGTGGAAATTTTCAAATACATAGGAGAGTACAGAGAATGGGAAAGCATATTTGACAGGACAGAGGATTGTACAGTAACCCCACCTACCCCTCACCCAGCTTTAAGAGTTAGTGACACGTGGCCCGTCTTGTCTCATCTACCACTCCTGCCCCAAACACTAGTAAATGCCAAACATGATGTCATTTCAGCCATAAGTATTTCAGTATCTGTAAAGACAAGGATCCCTTTAAACAACACATACAAATACCATTAATATTGAGAATAACTTCTTAGTTTCATCACATATAAGTGCTTCCGTTTTTCTAATTGTCTCATATAAAGATGTTTAACACTTGGCTCATCTGGGTTGAGTTGCTTGTTGTCGACTTGACCTCAGTCTGGAGTTTGCTGATTTCGTCCTCCTGTTCTTGCTATTTTTCCCCTTTCCCTGTTGCCTTTTTCCATCGTAAGTTCCTAGGCAAACTCATCAGTGAGCCGCTCTGTTCTTGTAGATTTTCTCCCTGGGGTACTGCCCCACCGGGGAGTGGCTGGCCGTGGGCATGGAGAGCAGCAACGTGGAGGTCCTCCACGTGAACAAGCCCGACAAGTACCAGCTGCACCTCCATGAGAGCTGCGTGCTGTCCCTGAAGTTTGCTTATTGTGGTGAGTGCAGCTGAAGGGACCCCCCGAGGACAGCGGTGGCCTCTGTGGAAAAGACTTTTAGAAAAATAGAGCCGAGACCGTATCTGGAAAAAAATATTGTGCTCTGAGCAGCTGGAAGCAATAATTCCAGTGTCTTAATATGTCCCTCAGAGTACAATGATGTCTGTTTTCCTAATTTGAGAGAATTCAGCAGGCAATGAAATTGCCTCATACAAGGTTTTGACACGTTTGTTTTTGGTGGGGAGAGTCGGGTCGGGGTGGGGCACAAATAGTTGCAGCTCTGAAGAGGGGTGGGAGGGGATTTATTGAAGAGGCAGGCAGGAGTGGAGGGAGTCATGGGGGAGTGACCAGAGTGCGGAGCCCACAATCAGGATGTAGTGAGTAGCTGAGCCTGACAGTTGCACCCCGCAGTGAGGATACAGAGGGAAGAGGTCCACATAGGATCAAACACTTGTTCACGAGGTCGATGCTGGATGAGTAGCTATCACCACTGACCACACTCTGTGCGCCATGCATCGTGTCTGGCATTTTACTTAAGTCTGTCATTTAATCCTTCTTAGCCCCATATTGTCTTGGGGAGACTAACAAGGACAGCAAAGTCACTGATTCCCTGTTTGAGGACCCACTGTGTGCTGGGTGTGGTGCTACCCATCGTGGCTAAGGAGGCTGACATGGTCCTTGCCGCTGCTTTCATTAAACCAAGATCACAGGTGATTCACAGCAGAGCCTGGATTTAAAACTGCTGTCTCTGCTCATAGCATAGCCCAGCCCTTGGACAAGATAGTTCATGATTAAAAATGCACTGAGTTTGATTAAGTCCACGGAGCTAAAGTATAGTAGGGATTTTATCTTGTTAAACAACATCTTCCTTTGCTAATTCTAGGTAAGTGGTTTGTGAGTACTGGGAAAGATAACCTCCTCAACGCTTGGCGGACCCCCTACGGAGCTAGTATATTCCAGGTGAGTCGGTTCCTTACCGAGAAGGACAGTTTGGCTTCGGCGTTCCAGTGACACCCCAAGTGGAAGGTGCCTTGGAGGGAGCAGGGCCCCTGAGTATCTCTGTTCTACAGTAAACATGCCCCCACTCTTCTCTCTTCCAGTCCAAAGAGTCCTCATCTGTGCTCAGCTGCGACATCTCTGTGGATGACAAGTACATAGTCACTGGCTCAGGGGACAAGAAGGCTACAGTCTATGAAGTCATCTACTGAAAACATTATGTGGTTTAATGTTTATAGTTGAATTGGGCCAAAATGTTTTGAATTTGTAGAAATAGAAGAGTTGTAACTATAAAAACAAGAAAACCTGTTTTTAAACCTTGACACAAAATGACTTTGAGTCTACAAAGAAGAGGTGACGCGTCCATCAACTGAAGGTCATCTATCTGCCTAGACCAAATGGAGCACCGAGGCCAGGTGGACAGAGGGGCCAGGGCTGCGGGCTTGAGGGACAGAGCCTGTGGCCCAGGCAGAGCCGGTCCTTTTCTTTCTGTGTGACCTGCACAGATTACCTTTCTGTTCCTTGGGGTTCCCCTCACGTGCCGTCCTTGGTAGCGCAGTGGTGTCTCCAATGAACTTGTTTCCTGGTTTTGCATCTTGTGAAATGTTTTTTTGTATTTTTGTTGAAGGTTAAACATTTGTATAAATTGTAAATATATTTGGTTTATTACAGTAAAGGCTTTAGTACCAATAAGTGGTTTCCCTTTGCCTTCTTGTTTTTATCAATGCTTTGGGATCATTGATGTGGGTTTTATAAGCAAAGTCCAAACATTTGTAGAGGAAGTTTTAAAAGCACTTCTGATGTTGTTCATGTATTTGGTCATGGGTTGCTGTGCAATGCAACACTTTTAAGTTACTGGAAACCCAACACTAGGTATCGCGAGTAAATCGAAGGTATATAAATAACAGTTTTATTTGGGAAACTAAGGTAACCTGGTCAAAATTTATTCTTTTGTTAGGATACTCTTGTCATTCGAGGTCACAGGTGAAAGTTCTGCTTCCCTTGGTGATTCATTGGGAAACAGAATGTTCTTTTCTCCGGGAAGGCTCAGCCTTTTCAAACCTTTAACCTCTCCTTCACAAGCTTCATGTCTCAAGGAGTGGAGGTGACTGGGGCCTAGTGTTAAGATTGATGTTCACGAAGCTGTCGAGTTTATTAACCTGTAAAAGAAAGGTGGGCTGTCAACTGGTTTTGTCTCCATTAATACTTATTTGATCTGTTCTATTAACTTCCTGTTCTTAAGCCAACCACACCCAGCGCTTCACCTCATTGTCCTCCTTAAGGCTTCCCCTGCAGCTCAGCCATGGCTCTCTGTCCTGAGTCTGGTCCTCTTTGTGGGTGAGCTTTTACTGATTAGACTAGATGAAGTCTAACCCTGGGCTTTGAATAAGTTGCCATGCATGTTTCCTCCTGAAAAGAGTACAGGGCTCGTTCTTTATAAACTTACTGTTTACTGTTATAGTTTAGAAAATAATGAGCAACAATGTTAAGCCAAGTTTCCTGGCTTTTTAAAAATCTCATCTAAGGACTTTTTAATGTTCTTGCTTTCTTTTGATCCCGAGAGCTGTTGGTAGTTCGCCTTAATATTTTTTTATTTGCTATTCAGACCTTATTTTTTGTACATTGAACAACATTATTTTGTTTGCTTTTTGCCAAAATAATGCTTGTTTATGTACAGAGTTGGTTAAATATTTTCTCTTATTAAGCAAATGGCAAAGCCCTAATTACTAACTTGATTTCTCTCATCCTTTCCTTGTGTAATGAAGCAGGTTTCTGTACCACAGACTCTGATGGCTGCTTAAAGGACTGTGTACCTTCTCTGTTCTCTCTTCTTCCCTGCCTCACTTCCCCGTTTTCTGTAATAGCTGGATAGAGGTTAAGTTACTGAAACAGAGACCCCGCTGTACAGCGGCTCAGAGACCACAAAGGTTTGTGTCTCCCACGTAAGACCCAGAGACCCAGGCCAGCAGTGCTGCTCTGCCTCCGGGTGGCTTCCTCGTCCCCACTTCCAGCCGGCAGTGGACAGAGTGGAAGTCCAGGGGAAGGGATGTGCGCTCAAGCAGGTGACTAGGCATTGGTTCATCCCTCCCAGCCCCCATTGATTAGCAAGGGCCTAGTCACTCCCCAGGCTGGGGAATGTGGTCTCCAGCTGGGTGGCCCTGTGTCCATGAAGAAGGCGGGGGCACATTCAAAAGAACTCTGAGTTAAAGAAATAGTCCTGTTTTTTCTGTTGTGCATTTTCTCCCCTCATGCTTTGTAGGTTCCCCGGCTTCCGATATTCTTTCTCTAATTGGATTTTCTCTAAGAAGGTCCTTATCAACTCAAGGATTTGCTTTTGGATGAAACACTCATCTGGTCCTGGAAGAGGCATTCTAGAGCTAGTCCCTCTGCTCAGGGGGCTTGGAATCTTAGAGAATTGCCTGGATAAACTGTCTCCCTGCTCATAAAATTGTCATGCCCAGTTTTCAGGGTTTGAGGATCAGAAATGGGCATGTGAAACAAGATTGTGAGTGGAGGGGGCATGCATGGGAGATTTCTTCCTAAGTTGTGAATTTAAGAAGTAACTGAATTAACACTCCTCTCCTCCAAGTGGTGGGAATCGTTATTGAAACCCAGGTGAGCCAAATGTTGTGTACCTCTTGCCTTGAATGTGGATCACAAGTTAGGGTTCAATAAATTTCAGATTCAGCTAGACCAGTGGTCTGCAAACTGTGGCCCCTTGAGTGTGGCTCTTACACAAAATACCACGTGCGGGCATGCACGTACAGTGCGATTGAAACTTCGTGACCACACTCAAGGGGCCAAAGAGCCGCATGTGGCTCGCAAGCCACAGTTTGCTGACCACTGAGCTAGACATTAATCACCAGTATGTGCCAAGAGCCATGCTCATCAGTTTTACATATAAAAATTGAGGTGACCATTGTCATCCTTAAGTAAGCAAGGCTCAGGAAAATAGCTTCAAAGGAGGCAGAACCAGATTCGGGTTTACCGTGGGTCCTGTCTGTGTTCCTTCAAATCTGAGTGGGTTGTGATTTTTCCAAGCAGTTCAAAGTGCCTCTTACCTTCAATTCCCTAGGTACCAGTCTTATACTGGTGCAATAGTATAAGAGTAGGTAGGTTTGCCCTAGCCAGTCTGGCTCGGTGGATAGAGCATTGGCCTGCGGACTGAAGGGTCCCAGGTTCAATTCCAGGCGAGGGCACATGCCCGGGTTGCGGGCTCTATCCCCAGTGGAGGGCATGCAGGAGGCAGCCAAGCAATGAGTCTCTCTCATCATTGATGTTTCTATCTCTCTCTCCCCCTTCCTTCCTCTCTGAAATCAATAAAAATCTATACTAACAAAAAGGTAATATGCTAATTAGACCAGGAGACCTTCCAGACATCTTTCCTGACAAAGCCATGGTGGCAGAGCTGAGGCAGAGGCAGTTAGGGGCAATCAGGCCTGCAGGGGAGGGTAGTTGGGGGCGAGCAGGCCGGCAGGGGGAGGCAGTTGGGGGTGAGCAGGCCGGCAGGGGGGCAGTTGGGGGTGATCAGGCCAGCAGACAGAGTGGTTAGGGGTGATCAGGCAGGCAGATGAGCGGTTAGGAGCCAGTGGTCCTGGATTGCAAGTGGGATGTCCAACTGCTGGTTTAGGCCTGATCCAGAAATCGGGCCTAAACCAGCAGTCGGACATCCCCAGAGGGGTCCCAGATTAGAGAGGGTGCAGGTCAGGCTGAGGGACACCCCCCACCTGCCACCGTGCACAAATTTCATGGACCAGGCCACTAGGATATATATAAAAAAGAGTAGGTAGGTTTGTGTTCACTAACTTATAACTTAACTTAGGCAGATAATTGTTTTCTCCATTATTTGTAATAGGTTTACCTTACATATATTTACTTCTTTTTTGATTACTCAGTCTTTACTGATACATTGTATGTAGGTTTTTGCCATGTAGCTCTTCCATGGAATTGAAGTTCATTGTGTAAAAATTGAAGTTTTAGTATGATAGGTTTGTAGTGCCTTTTTCATAATGATGTTTTTATCACAGTAAGGACAACATATTTCATCAATAAGATCATTCACCTTTATTAAGTTTCTGTTATTTACCAGGCGATAGGGAAGTGTTTGACAAATTATAATGATTCTCAGTGGCTGAGAGATGGGATTTGTGATGGGTTATTTAAGACTTCATGACTGGGAGGCAGCAGCTGGTTCCAAACGTGTGGAACATTTATACAGGGATTTTAAAAATTGCACTTTTGCTAATGATGCACTGAGGTGGTGACTTCCCCAAAAGTTTTCCAACAAATCAGTGCCAGGGATCCAGTTCTTAATTCCAGCATCCTGTGTAATTCCACCAAGAGACGGCTGCCCCTCGGCAGCGGGGCCGGAGTGATGACACTTAAGTCTCTCCTGCAGGCTCATGGATTGTTTGCTTCTTAAGGATATCTTCTCTTCACTCTCGCTTGGCAATGAAGTGGGCAGATCACCAGTTTCAGTCTCTCCTGAGCAAGATGAAGCTTGTCTTTAAGGGTCATGACCAGGGGAACTTACTCCCCGGACTTCGTGCATTTAAACAGTTCAGTCGTTTTAATTGTGTTCGTTTTTCTAGAGAAGCTTTCCCCAAACTTTTCATCTGCATCCATATCACCAGGAGGACTAGTTAAAATTCAGATTTCTGTGCCCCAGTCTCAGAGTTTTGGCTCAGTGGGTCAGTGTGGGAGCTGAGAATTTGCATTTCTCAAACAAGTTGCCTGGTCATCCTGAGGGTGCTGGGTTGGAGCAGCAATCCTAACAATAGAGCTATTAGTATATTCAGAAAGCGTTTGAATATATTCATACAGAACCATACCACAGTTTAGGCTTTGGGGCTGAGGGTTAAAAGAAAAATGACAATAAAACGCAAGGCATACTGTTTGTGTGTGTGTGTTTTATTGATCTCAGAGAATAAGGGAGAGGGAGAGAAAGAAACAGCAATGATGAGAGAGAATCATTGATCAGCTGCCTCCCACGCCCTGCCTTCTGGGCATCAAGCCCACAACCTGGGCATGTACCCCGACCTGGAATTGAACGATGACCTCCTAGTTCATAGGTTGATGCTCAACCACTGAGCCACACCGGCCAGGCAAGTCATACTGTTTTGAAGTTGCTGTTCTTGCATTAGTCCTTGTTCTCAAAACTACTTTTTTCTTTTTTATAATGAAAAGTTTTGGGATAACATTGGTTAACGCTGTAGAAGTTTCAGGTGTAAAATTTCATCATACATCATCTGTATATTTTATTGTGTGCTTATCAAAATATATTTGACTTCTTTTACCTTCTTCTTCCCCCACCCCTCTGCCCCTCTAGTAACCACCATTCTGTTGCCTATGAGTTTGTTTTGTTTTGTCTATTGCTTTTTGTTTTATGTCCTACATATGAGTAAAATCATATGTTCCTAAAACTAACTTTTGAAGCTGAATGTTATAATAGGTCTAAACCAAAGTCAAGTTTTAGAAAATGTTGCTTTTTAACTTAGCTGTAACTTAATGTGAGTTATGTGAGTCTTCTACAGCTTGGAAAACCTCCTGAAATGACCTAATGTACAGTGAAAGTCTCAAGAATGTACATGTGTTTAATTAGAGCAGTGGTTCTCAACCTTCCTAATGCCGCGACCCTGTAATACAGTTCCTCATGTTGTGATGACCCCCAACCATAAAATTATTTTCGTTGC